TGAACATAAAAAGTTTTGTACAGCTAATAATTCAAGAACAATATGTAACTAAAATATTGAAAGTTACTTTGATTCTGCGAGTTAAGTTGGTTATGATAAAAAAGTCTGTATATATAGGTGATATCCCTAATACTCAATATATAATATAAATATCGACTTAAATTTTTTTAATTATCAATTAACAAAATGTATTAAGTTTTATATGATATAGATATATTAATATGTGAAGGCGATATTTATTTATTTGTTTAAAATTCTAATAGTTTCTTTTAAAAATCTAATAGTTTTTGTTTGTTTATATGTCTGAGTCATATTTGAAACCATTCACTCTGATATAAAGTATAAACGATTTGTAAAAATAATAGGTAAATGGTTTTCGTTTGGGTGGGTGACGAGACAACAGTTGTTTGACCTTCAATAGTGTCTTCTGTGGGCGGTCTGACTGTCACAGGACCATATATGGACGTCCAGAAAATGCAGAGTACTGTAAGGGCCTCTTACGTATACGTATAGAAGGTCCCGGTTTTTTTATTAAGTTCTACAATTTAAACATAAATTTGAACATAAAAATATTTTTTTTTTCTATCAAAATCATTTAGTAATTATTTTAAACAATTGTATTATACAACTATTGTATTAATGTATATATTATTAAAAATGTATATTTATTTAATTTGTACTTATTTAATTTTTTAATAGTACAATTTTGTTTAGAATTCATTATTTGCATGCATTGTTAACATGCTCACTGACAAAATATTGTAAAAAAATTACAGCTAGTACTCTAAAAGTTGGTTTTTTAAATTTTTATACAAATCATTAATTTATGAATTTTAATGGACGTTTAGTGTACGTTATTTATCTTATCTCATTACTTTTATTATTTTTTTTAAATTTTGAACGTAAGCTCTTATATTTATAATCTGTTTTAGATAGTATTTATATTGTTAGTAGTATCTACTTAATGGTTCACCATTTCGATATAGTTTTTTTTCTTATATTAATACAATATACTAAAAATAAATTTCTAAATATACTAAAAGCTAATTTTCACGTTTAAAAATGCAATTTTTATCAATTTAGTATATTGATTTGCTTTTTAAATCATTAAGTTTTTTTAATTTTTTATTCGATGTCATATTACTCATTTCTATAAACAATTGTATCCGTTTAAATGACAAAGCAAAATAGGCCTTATAACTTCATAGCTCTTAAACTTATAAGAGTAGTTTTATTATTTTAAGTTTCACTAAACACAACTGAAGTATAAAGAATAGGAGAAAATCAAATTTATTAATATTTTTTTTAATCAAAATAATACATATGTATAATTTGAGATTATTTAAATAAAATCGGGAAAATTTATGCAGTATGATGAGCTACGCGACAATGTTGTGCGAGTTATTTTAAAACTTTATAGGTAAAAAAGACATTTATAAACATTTTTACTGATCGACTTGGTTATAGGGTCACTTTGATATATGATTATATTTTAAGTATTAACGAACAGAAAATAGAGGTTAGTGAACTTTTATTTTACTACGATTAATTCTTTTTTATTCTATAAAATGTCATATTTCAAATAAGTTAATAATTATTTTTGTTTCCAGTCAATATGTTAAACAATCTAAGTAGTAATATCGATGTTAGCTATACAGTTATATCGTGTATAATAGAATATTTAAAAGTCTAAAATATTAATTATAATATTCATATAGAATAAATTTATCTCTTTTTCTATCTCATTTGAAAATATAATTTTAAATTAAATAGTACTCTCCAAGTGATTAAATTTCCACACAAGCTTTCACTTAAACTTTCTACAACCCACCCAAAATACATATTATATCTATAAGATCTTCATAGGGATTCCTGACTAAAGTTACTGAAGGATATAATATGTATTTCGTATTGTGAAAAAAGTATGTTAATTAAATACATTTTTTATTGAATACAATTTCCCTACAAATATCTAAAAGAACATAAATACGGTCAATTCTAACATATCTTGAAATCCTTGAGGGATATACGAAGTTATCAATCTTCCAAATAAGGTTATAGGTCAATTGTGTACTGTGACTATATGTTATATTCACCGTTGGAGGTGATAATTTATTAATACTTTTATATTTAACCATAATTGTCTAAATGGGTTGTATGTTTTTATTTTTCGCGATAAATAATAGAGAACAATTGGTTTGGCGCAACAATCAAATAAGTTAATTTTTTTATAATTTTTCAGGAGAAAGTTTTATCAAAATGTTTTATCCAAAAGCAATGGTAAAATGTTTTTTTTTCTAAATGAAATATCTTTGCTAATAATAGGACTTAATTTTGTACCGAACTACGCGGAAAAATCATATTCAACAATTAACAAAATGATATTTTCTAAAAAAGTTGGACTTATTCGATTGTTGTACCAAGCCTATTAATTTTGAAATATGGGTTTTTTTAAATTCTTAAAAGCTGAGACACAATTTTATGAAGTCTCAGGTAGTGAAAATAGCACATACTGTCTACAATTGTCATAAAATAAACTTTTATTGTGCTTCCATTTGGGCGCATTAAGATTTTAAGAGTTAATGTAATCATCTCGTCAAAAATCTTAGTTATAAATTCTTCAATTGAAATGTGATCGAAAATTCAAAGAAGTTGATCGATCTGATGTTTATTTTTAAATGTGGCTTTTGTCTATAGAGGAATTTTTCCTGTTGACAATATAACTAGTGTCTATATGCTCATAATGTGCTGAATGGGAGTTGTCCCAAGTGTGCCAGGCACGATTTGCTAACTGTATTTCTCGATCAGCGACGGTAAAGTACACCCAAACAATGTTATGTTTCACTATTGATACAATTAAAAAGTTCGCACGTTAATTAAAATACTTGGTTTACTAGTATACAAAGAGACGTTTCATTTTTTATTAGTTATCTTGTTGAGCTCTTTCTGAACAGTTTTTGACAACTTTTTTGTATTTGTATTATAATTTAACTTTTCGTGTAAGGAGGTCAGATTAATCCTAACTGAACTATTGATAATTTTGGTATAATGCCGTGGTTAAATAAAAAATTATCGTGTTTTTATCGAAGAAAAAATTATAAGGAGAATAGTAAGACAGTTAGCGGATTAAATAAAACTGAAACTTTGGATAAAAGTGTTCAATGTTATTTTATTGATTATCCTACTGAAGGAAAAAATAATTTCTTGTTTATTTATGATAAGGGTTAGTATTTTTATAATTTATATTTGTTTTTTATTTTTTTGGAATATTAATAATAAGCTTTTTTTTCTAAGTTTTCTTTCAACTAATAATGACCGTATTATAATCTTAAACTTCCTTTTTTTTAAAGTGATTGTTCTATTATTAAAGGAAACTTAAATTGTAAATATATACAGAGTGATAAGTTTATTATAAACCACTCTATTACTCTCAAAATAAAAATAATATTTTGCTTTTTTAGTGACATATGATTTATCTATCAGCTAATAATGATTTTTTAGAATCGTCCCTTATAACTTAAAAGAGTGTCAACTCTATTCTTTTAAATAGCAACATACATATTTAACTTGTTTATAAAATAGAATATAATCTAATTAAGAAAATGACTGGTCGATAATAAATTTTTGAACAGTATTTCGGAAGTTATTTTCATTTTTATACCTTGGCGGGACGAAGGTACGATCGGGAAATGCTAGTGATATAAATAGCAGAAACCAACCACCTCTCACTTCTAGTCATTACTTTAAATTGTTGATTAGTTGTTAATTAAATGTATGTATATGTATATTTTTTTTAGAAATTAGTTCGAAAATATGTTTGAAGTAATATAAAATTTAATTATTTATATAGAATGAATAATTTATCATATCAAAGAATTTTTGACTTGAAAACTACCTATTTAATCAAAATTTATTATAATTTTTAATTGAGTTTTATGTATTGATATAGTTGTAAATAATTTAAAACTGTTATTTAGCGAATATTACTAACACTTCAATTTTTAAATTGAGGCATATTCTATTTATTTTTGAAAAACGTGACATTGATTATTATATTTGTTTTTAATGTATCCTATTTCATTTTAGTTTGATCCTACATATATTTTTATTGTCATTGTAAAAATAAGTTTTAATAGTAAAACATTTACTGTCTTTTTATTTTTTGTTTTTTACTCGAAATATTGAAAGTTGACATATGTTGTGGTCACTTTATCATATTATAGCGTTCACCCAAAAATGTTACCATAGTTTCCGTTGATATGCGAAAACATACTTTTTCGTACAAACACATTTTAAATGAATTGCCTAGAGGTTGTTGCTTTTTGTTTATTAATTTATCCCCATTGGCAACCTTTAAAATCATTTAGACAAAAAAAATGGTCAAGTTCATTATCAACACGTAATTTAACTTTCAAGATTAATCCCATTATAAAAGTTTTATAGATAGTTCGAAGCTCATACAATTTAAAATATTTGCAGAAATATTTTGAAAAATCGGATATTTTATTATTAAAATTTATTATATAGGTTTATTCTTATTTATATTTGAACACTTAATTTAATTCCTTACAAATGTTTTTCAGTTCGTGAAGTATAAATTCAAACCTATTTAGAATTATAATTAAAATTAAATGTTTCTATATAATTTAACAATATTAGATAACTTTTTTAGTTTAATTTTCAACTGTGTATACTTTTTACTAAAGGTATATGTTGTTGATTATGTAATTTATATTGAATCGAACTATGTTAAGATTCATCTAAGCTACCATAATTAAGGACATATTTAAATATTAATTAATGTATTGTTTTTCAAATTTATTTTTACCAATAGTTAAAATATTAACAATATTAAAAATTCTATAGTTAAATATTTTCATCAATAGGAATTTTTTCACCATATTTTTTAGCATAACAACACTTGTTAATTATTATAAAAAGATCTTATTAAATTTTGTATAACTTTTTAACCATGATTAATTATTTTTATTTTATTTTAGGACGTGTGCACAAAGCTGTGGTATCTCGAATGAACCCAGATACTAGGAGTATTTCAGTTGAGTGGTTAGAAAACGGTGAAACTAAAGGGAAAGAGGTAAATATTCAAATGTAGTTAAAAAATTTTTCTTTTTTGAAAATTATAAATATTTATTTCTTTTGAAGATTGACTTAGATGGAATACTTGAATTGAATCCACAATTACGTTCAAATATTCCTACTATCAACATGGTTGCTCAAAACGGTACAAATATACCAACTACTAGTAAATTAGCAAGGGTATGATCTTAATTATTAAATATCTTAATTTTCTCACTAAATTTGAATATTTTTTATAAAACAATGAAAAAACAATAGTTGATGATTAATGTATTAATATTATTTTTTCAGTATTCTACTAAAGCCTCAATACAAGCATTTACAAATAATAAAGGTTTGTTTCTTGTTTATATGAACGTATTTTTAGATTTCTTATTTTGTTAAGTTTTCTATTATTATTTGATAGTTTAGTGTAATTATTAATTATTTTAGATTTATATATTAAAAATTAATTTAAAATATTTCAGTTATATAAAAAATTACCTTACTTTTTATATTTAACATAATTTAAATTACTATTTTTAAAATCAAAACAGTATAGATATTAGCCAAACTATCCGAGGATTCATGTTATAAAACCATGTCAGAAAACCTCAATATTCTATTAATTATAATAATCGATAATTTAAATTATTAATTTAAGATTTAAAATCTTAAATAAGCGATGATATAAATTTTGGGGGTTATAATTTTATAGCACATTATTATTAATTATAGGCAATTTTTTAGTGTCCGGATCTTGATCTAGATATAAAATTTCATCAATACTACTACAAAAAAAATTGTTAAAGCTAGCTGTTGGTGCTAGATTAAACAATTTTAGATACAAAAGATAACTTTATTAACTTAGTTAACAAATAATAACAATAATTTTCTAATCAAAAAATGTGTGGATTTATATATGTTATTTTATCACTGTATTAATTTTTAAGCTAGTTAGTTCATTTATAAGTTTAAAATAGGGATTGCAGCTTAACCTATATATCCATCCGTGCTACATATACACTATGTTTTCAAATACTTATAACTTAATTAATAATTGTTTTAAAATATTATCGACCCATCAAAATTTTTTCTAAGAAGTGAGAATATGCTTTTATTAAAATTTGAAAACAAAAAAAAATTTTATTTTATTTTCATTTCATTCTTATTAGCGATAAATAATAAAATCTATAAATTGAACGAAGTTTAAGAAGACAATAGTTATTTAAAAATATTCAACAAAATGATTATTGGATTAAATGTTGTCAGTGTGCCATATCTTTGTGACTTACTCCGTATAACAAAATTTACTTGTATCATATATATTGATATCATTAGTTTAAAAATTAGTACAAGCAAAAAGAATAAAACTATTTTTTCGTTATTTGTTTGAGTAAAAATTGAAATTTTATTCTTATAAAATCAATAATTTTAAAAAATGTAAACTTAGTTACCAGTGATTCAAAAGTTTTAGTTGTTTGCATTTACCAAATTTTAACGTATGAACATTTATATTATAACTAGTTAATTTAAGATTTATTATCTTAGTAGATTGACTATTTATTCTAGATGCATTAGGAATATTTTCTGTAAGCATTTTTGTTTTTTTAATATTATCTTGCCCATATAACCCAAAACGTTTTTTTGTTATAATTACCTATAGTACAGTCAAAAAATAAATTGTATTTCTAATTTATTACAATTAAATTTCTGTTATTTGTGTAAAATATTTTAAATAAGCTTGGCGAGATTAAATTGTTTACTAAAAATAACAACTATTTTGTATATCATTAAAAAAAGTTTTAATAACTTTTTTTTATAATTTATGTATTTTAGGTTCGTTTAAAGGATCAAAACCAGTTACTAGACAAACAAATCATTATTCACCTGCAGTCAACGGATCTGGTGAAATGTTGTCCACTACAGTACCTTGCACCCCATTAAATCCACCTTCTCAATACCAACAAATACCTGTATTAAAACCTGCTGATCCTCCCCCTCAAACACAACAATTAACTAATTTATATAGTAACAACACAAATCGTGGTATTACTAATAGTACAACAACAGCAGCAGCAGTAGCAGCTGCAGCAGCTAAAGATCGTCGAAGTAATGTTGTTAAAGAAGTAGCTAAGTTAAAAAAAAATAGAGAAGAAAGACGGCAACGACAAGCTGAACTAAAAGAAGAAAAAGAAGCTTTAATGAACATGGATCCTGGTAATCCTAATTGGGAATTCCTTGCTATGATTCGGTTAGTAACCCCAATTTAATTAAAAAAAAAAAAAAAAAATATATATATATATATATATTTATCCTTTTTCTAGAGATTATCAGTCTAATTTAGATTTTAAACCATTGAGAGATAATGAATTAGTAGAAGACCATCAAATAACTGTATGTGTTAGAAAAAGACCTTTAAACAAAAAAGGTAATTATTAAGAAAAAAAATATAATAATTTATTTTTATATATTATAATTTTAATTGTTTTGTCTGTAGAACTCAATCGCAAGGAAGTAGATGTAATTGCAATTCCAACCAAAAATCAGGTCATTGTCCATGAACCCAAAAATAAAGTAGATCTTACAAAATATTTGGAAAATCAACACTTTCGTTTTGATTATGCTTTTGATGAAACTTGCACAAATGAAACCGTTTATAAGTATAATTAATTATTCTGAATATTATTTAATTTAAGTATTTTTACTAGTGTTTTTTTATAGATATTCTGCTAAACCTCTAGTAAAAACTATATTTGATGGAGGTATGGCAACTTGTTTTGCCTATGGGCAAACTGGTAGTGGTAAAACTCATACTATGGGTGGTGACTTCCATGGAAAAACTCAAGACTGTAAAAAAGGCATTTATGCTATGGCTGCTAAAGATGTTTTTCGATTTTTAAATTCTCCCAGTTATGGTCCGTTAAACTTAGTAGTTACTGCTAGTTTTTTTGAAATTTACAGCGGAAAAGTAATTTTTTAACTATTGAAAGTAAAATAAAGAATTGCGTTAATCTAGCCCTTTTAAAGGTTTTTGATTTGTTGGGTGATAAAGCTAAATTAAGAGTACTTGAAGATGGTATGCAAAAAGTACAAGTAGTTGGCCTTACTGAAAAAGTTGTTACTTCTGTGGATGAAGTATTAAAGTTAATTAATGATGGAAATAGTGCAAGGTAAATATTATATTTTATTATAATCATAATATGCTATTATTTTATTTATCACTTTTGAATTTTAAATTTTTATAAAGGACATCTGGTCAGACATCAGCTAACAGTAATTCTTCAAGATCACATGCTGTCTTTCAAATTGTATTACGGATACCTGGATTAAATCAAATACATGGAAAATTTTCTTTGATAGATTTAGCAGGGAATGAAAGAGGAGCTGATACATCATCAGCTAATAGACAAACACGTAATAAAATAAAAATATTATAATATTGTTTACTTTAGAAAAGTTGTTTTAATTTCATGTTGTTGTATTAATTATTTAAAAATGTGTATAGGAATGGAAGGTGCAGAAATTAATAAATCTCTTCTTGCTTTAAAAGAATGTATTAGAGCTTTAGGCAAAAAAGGTTCTCACTTACCATTTAGAGCAAGTAAATTGACACAAGTTTTAAGAGATTCCTTTGTTGGAGAAAATAGCAAGACCTGTATGGTAAGGAAGTGGGTATTTAAAATTTTATTTAAAATACTAATTTTTTGGTTTGTGATTATTTAGATTGCAATGATAAGTCCAGGATTAAGCTCTTGTGAGCATTCTCTTAATACGCTCCGTTATGCAGACCGTGTTAAAGAATTAGATGCATCTGATCCAGTAGGCGGAGAAACACAAGTTCCAACATTTTCTCCTGCAACTAATCATACTCCAAATATATCTCGAAATCTACAAGATGTGAGCATGGTTGATGATGATTTAGCAGCTCTCAGGTCACTTAATGTATGTATTCAAAAATAGGTTTAATTTTGTCTTTTCGTGTATGAAATATTAAACATATCTCTTATATTCTAATAGGAAGCAGAAATATCACCTGATCTATATAATTTCCAACAAGCTGTTTCTCAGTTGCAAGAGCAAGAAGATGATATGCTAGATAAACACAAGGCTTTATTAGATGCTAGTCAGAAATGGTTACAAAAAGATAAACAACTGTTGGGAATAACTAGGAATGTTGACTACGATGTGGATGGTAACAACGATAACAAAATGTCTTTACTTATAGCCTTACAATTTTTAGCGTTGCCTATTGCTTATGCTCTGTTTTTTACATTTATTCTTCCCTTGTTGTGCATTGGTCATTTTAATGTATTATAGAAATAGAAATGTGTGTGCTTTTTAGTATTGAAAACTTTGATGATTGCATGTTATATTTTATTTAAAATTTCTAACTTTAACTTAATCAGTATTATTTCATGGTAGATTTGATTTTTAGAATTTCTATGTTGAATTATTCTAATTTTTTATGGAGACAAATATATATTTATGTAAAAAATTAATGAATTATTTTTGTTAATATTTTTTTAAATTGCCTAAATTCAATAAGATAGTAATTTTCAATCAATATTTTTTACTTACTTATTGTAAAACTTTAAATTTCTTATTCCTTTTAATTGTATTGAAAAGTTATTTCTTATAAACGTGTAACCAAAGATTTAATGCTATTGTTGGAGAAAAAAAAGTTAAACATCTCTATTGTGGGAAAAATATTAACTCTTTCTGTTAAATACATTTTGAGGCCAAAATTTTTATGTCTTGAAATAGATGTCGTTCCTAATTCTCTGGCTTTATATTTTCCTTTTTAGTAAATACATATATTTTATAAGTAAAATCATAAGGTTTTTACACTTTTTTATCTGTGAAGAGTTATGATTTTTTTTTATCTTTATTAAAAATTATTATTTTGTGTTGGTTAGTTCAGTTTCATTTGTATAAGTCTATTGTTTAAAGAATTAAACTCTTCTTTTTAAAAAAATACTAATAACTCATAACTAATAATTAAATTTTATTATGACATTTTTATTACCCAATAATTTTGATTTCTATATCTACGTTGATTAATAGAATTATAATGTAGTATTGTTAAAAAGTTGTACATTTTTTTCTTATGTTCGATTAATTAAAAATAAATGGTCTTTTATTTTACTTATTCCATTATTATTTATACTTGCTTTCGTTTTTTTTTGTATTTGTCATAAAATTGTATGTCTGTTTTAAATATATATTTATTTGTTAATTTATAATATTTATCATATTATTTGTATGTTTATATTATCAGCATTAAGTATATTAAACTATTTTGATCTGTATATTTCTATCCAGTAATAAATGCCTGGAATTAGCTAGATTTTTAGATTTAAAAGGCTCATTTTATTTTGTGCTCACTAAAAGCTTTCCTTCTTTTATTATTATTTATTTTTTGAATATACCTATACTGTCTTTTTAAGTAATAATATGTTAAAATTATAATTATTATTTTTACAGCATATTCTTTACAACTACTCAATTTATTACAAGACAAATTGGCTGTTACACAAGATTTGATGGAAATTGTAGTTGGTTTTAGAAAGCAATTGACAACCGAGGAGCAATTTAGTCAAAATATGCGAGGTGGACACCGGTAAAAGGTTAAATTTGTTGCCAACAATATTTGTTAAGGCTTTTTTTTATTGTGAAAAGTGAAAGTAGGAAAACTATTCATTGATATAATGAACATTATTGCTACGATGTGATTTTTTTCTTTTGGTGATTCTACTTTTATTGGCCTATGAAAACTTAAACAATGTTAGCAGCTGATATTGCCTATTTTTTAATTTATGTTGTTTTAAGTTATAACATGAAAAACTAAAAAAAATGTTATTGTTGTACACTCCCTAAATCATCTATTCTTCTAATTTAAACATCTTTGGGTTTTATATTGTAATTTTTTAACAAAAACATTTTACTGATTATTTTTATTGAAAATGTGCATATTAATTTACCATCTATTTACAACAGTTATATAATTGTTAATTAATATTAAAAAATATATTTATAATATATACATTTAATGATAGTAATCATGGAAAAACATTCATTACAAGTCACTTACCATTCAATATTTTGTTTAAATGTGTATTTGTAAATAGTAAAATTAATAATTAATAATAAAACAAATCAATAATACTCTTAAGATAATTTTTTTTTTGCATAGTAGACTGGTTTTTAATGCTGGAATGTATTTTTAACATAAATTTTTATGTAAGTAATTTAATTACTCATTTGATTAATAACTAATAGTATACTCTTTTTAATCAAAGATATATATGCATTTTTTATTATTCCCTTTAAATTATTTATTGTATTATTTTCATTAATAAAATATTGATAGTTTTTTTACTTAGAATATATATATATATATATATTACATGCTATTAAGTCTATTACAATTCTAATTTTCCTAGGTTGACTCAGTGGTGTATTTGGAATTTTTATTTGTATCTCTTTTACAGATAAAAAAATTATATTAGAATAGAAATATAATAATAGGTTTGAATTTTTAGTTTTATCTTGTTATTTACAATGGTTATTAACTTGTTAGAGAGGAAAAGAAAAAAGTGCTATATATCATAAGCTACCCACCAGAACCTTATGTTATACTACACTAACTTTAGAAGAAGCAAACAACTTTTTAACTTTGCTGTAGGAATGGAGTTTAGCTTTTGACCATAAACATGATAAATTTTTCTTAGTGATACTAATATGTGTAAAAAAGTAATGTGAATACATTAAAAGAAAAGTTATGATAATGTGACTGGTTTTGCAATATAACTGATGATATGATGTATTAAGACCCTCAGGTTATATAGTAACAATATTAAAAATTTAAAACTGATGAAAGTATTAATCATAAATGATAAAATTTTTAATTTATTGAGTTTGTAATTTACAAAATTTTGATGCAATTTTGATTATTACCATTGCAACAGCTATTGACATTATTTGCATAGTAGTCTTGAAAGAAAAAATTTCATCCAATGACTGAATACTGGAGATAGTTTCCCCACTTTGACAGCAAATATAATTGTAAGGCATCAAACCTACAAAATATTAATATCAAGCTTTTTCAGTAAACATGAAGTATTTCTTAAGTAGATGATTTTACATTATTTTTTTTGGATGTTAAATTAATAATTCAGTAAACTATAATAGTATTGAATGAAACTAATAGATTTTCTTACCAAAGAAAGTGGTGTACATAAAAGTCCATAAAGGAATTCTTACAATTGGTGCAATTAAATTTAATAGCCAGTTTGGAGTTATTGGAATTATCCGTAAAACAAGTAGTAGATACCATAGTTGATTTTTATTATTACTAACCTTAACAAATAATTAAGTAATTAGTTTATTTTACTAAGCCTATATACAAATATCTATTAAACAAGTATGAAGTCATACTTCATTACTATTTGTATATTCAAAGAGGTTTTTATCAGAGATAAATTTGATCTTTAAAAATACGAAAAATATTCAACTATTAAAATTATTCGTTGACTAACAAATCTATTTATATACATTATAACTAAAAATTTATATATACTGGCGGCCAAAATTATTAGATCACCAAAGAAATTCGAATTAAAATTTCTGTCGATAATTTTTTGCAGGTGAATTATTTTTTCTTTGAATCTACAGCAATCATGTTTGTTAATATTATAATAATATTTAATAAAACAACAAGATATCAAATCTTATTTGAAAAAAATCTTAAAGTTATTGTGTGATCTAATAATTTTGGACGGCAGTATATATATATATTTTAACTATTTATAAGAAATACTAAATATTAAATTATTAATTATATTTAATTTGAAAATAATGTTTATATATTTAAATACACCATGATAACCGAATAAATGAAATCCAAACATGTTTCAGTGATAAAAATAAAAATAATTCATTTGATTTTTAAAAGGGCAGTATTTATTGTTGCTGCTATTAAACAAATGTAAAAATTTAAAGATATGCATCCAGCTTAATTTGTGTTATCCCTTTAAAAGTATTAGAATAGAATACAAGACAGGGAACAATATATAGAGTATTAAGTATAAAATAAATAATTGGTATTTATGAACATTTTTGTTGCACAAAAAACAATTCTTTCCAATAAAAATGAAAAATTATTTTTGATAATCGAAAAAAAATCATTACTTAAAAAGAACTAAATATTTGTTAACATTTATCATTAAGTGTACTTAATAAAATTCTTCATTAGAACTTTCCAAATATTCTATTGAAAACATATCGATAGTTTAAAAAATTTGAGGATGCCCATCATTACTTTTATAATCATAGATAAAAAAATCCATAATTACTTACTAAATTTTCCAATGTAGTTTTGGATGATCTTAATTGACTAGGGAGGAATTTGATTAATACTTCTTCAATACAACAAATTTTAGATAGTAAATAACATGAAGAAACACCAATACTGGATAAAATGCATACTAAAAGAAATCCATAAATTGATCCAAATAGAGATCCTGCTAGTACATTCTGAAATAAATAATTTGATTTAAAAATGATATGCAACTATTTTTTAAAAGAAATATTTCTATAGACCAATTTAACCATATAAATCAGATTTGTTCCCAAATACTTGTAAAACTAGTCTTAAAACTAATTACTATTTCATAACAAGTCTTTACAATGTATATTTTTATAATGTCTTATATAATTCATCAATTAAATACATGTTCAAATGAACAAATAAATATATTATTAATTCTTTAACTATTAATTAGTATGATTTTAAAATTATTCTCCAAAACCTCAAGTAATTAAGAGTTTTAAATTCTTTTATTATATATTTTTAATATAGAAATATAATTGGTCATTGGTCTAAATAGGGATGTACAGTGGGGAACAGGAGATTACACCTTTTATAAATCTTTAGAAGCAATCATAACCAGTTAGGTTCAAATACCTTCTCATGGACTGATTTTTTCTCTTGTAGAATTCATAATAGAATCGAGTTCAAATTATAATCCAAACTGTAAAATTTACTTATATTCATTTGAGTTTTTGTTATTATAAATAGTTTCTGTAGCAACAATTACTTATACAATTATAAAAACCACTAATTATAACAGCTTTGAATAGTTCATTGTCAGGGAAAATAATATGTAATAACCATTTATTTATAGACTAATTATTTTTACACCAACTGGAATATTTTTCTATAGATTAATATTGATAATGAAACTAATTTTCATAAACTGATTTGCTCCTACTAAATTTTTTAAAAAATTTAGAAGATTTATTTTTGTATTAATAGTGTATCCATTTAACTTATAAGCATTAATAAATAATATCTTACCAATATAACAGAACCTGGTATACAAAATGTTTGCTTAAATATATAAATGCTGCAAAATAGTATCAAAACATAAAAAAAGTTTTTTTCATAATAAACTTTTAAACAAGAGTTCAGTTTAGTTATATCATTCATTTTTTTTGGAAACAATTTTATTTCGCACTGAAAATATTAAAGCAATTTTTAGAAATTAATAATAAAATTAAAAAATTCAATTTTACTTGATTTTCTGTGATTGGTGCTAGCTGTATAAGATAATAAAGCCATAGTAATGAAACAAAAAATAGTGGAATAATAAATAAAAAACGTAATACTGCCATTTAATTTCAGAAATACACTGTTAAACTAAATATTTAATAGTAAATTTATGAAATAAAGTTTAAATTTTTTAAGAGCTTCCTAGAATTTCTTATATATCTACTTAAGAAATAAAATTATTATATTACATAAAATATACTAGTATTAAAACAGAAACATTAGGTTTAATTCATATTTTTGTTCAATTAATGTTTTCATTACAGTAATTTTTAAGAAATAAAAAGATTTTATTTTAATTTAATAAATGAAGGCCTAACTAGTCTAATGTTATGAAAAGGAATACCTCAGTGTTAAGGTACCAGGGTTCAATTCTGTTTCACTGGACTATGTAGGTTTTCCGTCCCCATTTAGAAAGGACATAAAACAGAATAAATATAAATAATAGCGACTATTATTAAAGAAATATATAAGATAGGTAATCAACAAATAATTATACCAATAGTAAAAATATTAATATATTATTTAAAAAAAGTTAAACTAATAAATAAGATATTTAATACTATATTTGGAAAATTATTGTATCAAGAAATTCTAATAACTTATGACTATTTACTAGATTTTGTTATTACGCATAAAATATATTTTTTTAAATACTGTGGCTACTTAAAAAATTTTTTAATTTTTAATAGATTTAAAAAATAATGCATTTTTTTAAATAGTGCTGGCTAATTAAATCGTTACTTTATTATTCAGACTAGATATCACTTGTGTACTTAGTTATTATTGCTTCTCTTGTTACACATCAGATATTTTTTTTAAGTGTACGTGCTTGTAAACATGATGTCAGTTGATAAAACTGATAAGGTTAATTGAGTAACAAGCATCGCGATAAAGAAATACATTGTGTGTTTCTTTATCTTGATGGTTTTAAGCTACCAGCTGTGGCTTATCATTTAATCAACCACTGGCGATAGTAATTTTTATATTATTTAAGTCTATATAAAAAAATAAAAAATAAATAAATTATAGAAAGTTACATTTAAAATTTAAAATTAAATATATGTTTAGGTTGTATTAAAAATAAAATTTTATCAAACATGTTAGTAAAAAAAGTAAAACTTTTACAACTGTTTACTTATGAAGTATTAATTAATGTATTTAAAAATCGGAACGCTAATTTTTTTTTCTCTGTTAATGGTCGACCAAATATTACCACAATATCTAAAGTAAGTAACATCATTGACTAAAAATCTAAAATTTGTAAATAATATATATTTAAACTAATAAGCTACTACTTTTTAAGAGAGAAAATATATATTTGGATTTTATTTACAAACTAATTGATACTAAATAATAATGTCTGCAACTTTATATAGTTCATATGATTTTATTGTAAAAAAAGGAATTGCTGTAACAATATCTTTGTTAAAAGCATATAACTAATTTGTTTTGTGTGATTGTTGCAAAATAACTTGATCTTTTTTTGCATTATTCAATTGTAAATTATCAAGCAAATTTGTTGATTGAACATTACAATTAGACTTGACCTACTGTTGTAGCAAGCCTTTCAAAAATTGTATTTTAAACACATGATAATAATGCCTTTATATTTTGTTGATTAATTTAGGTTGAATTAAAGAAAATATTATGTTTTACTATGCCTTTTTTTGGTTACACTGCTACTCAAGAAAATACTCAATCTAATATTGATAAAAAACCTAATATTAAAGATAAGCTTGCAGAAGCTGATAGATTATTTTTAGAAGACAAGTATGAAGATGTTGTTAATATACTAGAAGAGTATAAAGTAATTTAATTTTCTTAATTAAAATTATGCTACACCTTTTAAGGTTTTAAAAGAGTCATCCGCACATGTTATAGGATGTTTTTTACTCATAGTTTATTCATTTAAATTTCTAAAATCTAACAAAAATCAATATTTTCCCTTCTCTTTTTTTAAAACTATAAAAACAGAAGCAGCAAAACTGCTTACTTTTATTATGCTAAATAATGTTTGTTTAAATCATCTGATAAATTAATTCTTTTAAATTTTTTCTTTGCATTGGTACAAAACTATATGAGGGTTAAAAAATTGACTTATCTGATTAAGTAAAATTTTACATGTTTGCATATAAATGAATAATCAATGTATAATGGGTCTAAAGTAAAAAGATGTTTATATTTACAAATTTAATCTCATTGCTTTTATATGTTAGTCTACAATCAACTTGAATATCTAACTCTATTATTATCGCTATTATTTTGATTTCTCTCTCGACCACACTCTGTATTCTGCCATAACTACTAGAAAATCGTCTACCATAACTATTTTCTATATCTCTAGAATTACTTAAGCTGAATCCCGATTTCTAGAATATGACCTATTTCTTCTGTTATCAAAATAATTTCTATTTTTACTGTTATTTCTACAATCATATAAATGCTTTCTTGGTTTAAATTTATTTTTTTATGTGATAAAATATGATATAATGTTATGAATACATGAAATTAATTTATTTTAATGTTATAAAGGTTATTATTTTTTTAGTGCTGCTTCTAAATTTACCACTTCAGACATATGTACATATCTCATCTTAAATAGATCCTACCTATGTACTGGGGTGATCATGGAGTTAATTTTTATATGGTGTGGAGTAAATTTTGTCATTTTGGTAATAAATTTGACGATTTAAGTACCTTAATGAGTAAAAATGTCTACAATATATTTTTCAAATGCCAATCACTCTTTTTTAATGAATTTTTGGAAGTGTGTGACATCCCCTTATCCCTATGAAATAGTTCCTACCAATATATTATGTATTACAAAGAATTGTAATCCTATAAAATTATCATAATTCAAAATTTTTTTTTTTTAACTGTACATATATTGCTATTCTATTTGTGAGTTCTAAATTAATGTTTTAGGTTTTTTTCCTTATAATTAAAATATATTTTATTTTACTTTATTGAATTCCATAATCTTATATAGAACTTAAATGACGAACAAGTTCTTTGGCGCATTGGTAGAGCTTATTATAATATGAGTCGATGCGAAAAAAATTGTGGAGATAAACGCAAGAACTTGATAATGAATGCACATGAATTAATAAAAAAGGCTCTTTCCATTAATCCAAATATTTTTGAAGTTCAAAAGTGGGCAGCTGTTTTGATTGATGAATATTGTAGTATTATTGGAATTAAAGAAAGGATAAAATCTTTGGAGATAGTAAAATCTCATATGGAGGTTTGTAGTGCTATAAATTGATTTAAATATGTTTACATTTTATTAATGGTTTATTTTAGAGAGCTTTAGAACTGAATCCAAAAGATCCAACTATACGATACATGATTGGTTATTGGTTAGTAAAAAAGATATGTACATTATTCATCTTAATAAATATTCCAATATTATAATAATTGTAGGTGTTACTCTGTTGCGGATATGCCTTGGTATCAACGTCAAATTGCATCCTCTATATTTGGGGCCACATTACCTACAGCTACTTATGAAGAAGCACTAGAACACTTCAAAAGTGCTGAAACATTACAACCACTATTTTATAGGTATAAATTGATTTTTAACTTGATTTATATTCTTTGTAAATTTATATTTCCTCTCAAATCAATTATTTCATATTTGTGTTAGGATGGATAAGAAACCAGTATAGTTTGGTGAATACAATCAAACATTAATACCTATATATTACGCTATCAAACAATCTAGATCAAACTTTATATGAATATTTTATAATATAACTTCAAAATACTAGCAATTTTTTAATTGTTAAATATTATGGAATAGTAACTAATTAATAGATAAACATTTAATATACTAAAGTAAACCATGTATAAATCACTTTAAATAGCTTTTTTATCTTTTCATTCTAACATGTAAAAATTTAGATGAAAAGTGATATAAAAGGTAGCTTAAATTTTTTAAGCCGCCTCTTTTATCTCATTCTAAAAATGGGCTTTTTACCTGTTAAAAAAAAAAAAGAAGAAGAAAATTCTAGTTACTTCAATGCATATATACATTTTTCTAAATTAATTAGTAATATACATTATTAAGACGGTTTGATCTACTTATTTTTATTTTTAGTAAAAATCTTTTGATGTTGGGAAAGACTCTTTTGAAGATGGAATCCAAATTTAGTGCTGAGTATTATTTAAAAATGGTGACACAGTATCCAGCTAAAACAGTTGACGATCTAGAGGTAAATAAATATATTTGATGTTGTTATATTTCAATGAGTATAAAAAAAAGAACAATGTTGATTTTTGAACAATCTTTTTTAATTGAAACATGCCAGCTTTTATAACCATTTTTTATTTGTTAACAAATTATTAAAATAAGTATCAAAGCAAAATTACTGTACTACATGATTTTTTTAGTGAAAGTAAAAGTTTTTTTAAGTCTTCCTGTTTGAAGACACAAATAAATTATTAGATTGATTTTTTTTTAAATAATCTATAAATATGAATACATCACAAATATTAATCCAATGTTTTTTTACAGTATTTATTTCTGTTTTATATTGATTTCATTAGTTTTACTGTTTATAATTTTTTCTGGAAAATTATTGTAAATTATTAATTTTTTGAAAAACTTTATTTTAGATTTATATAAACTTTAATTGATTTTGGACTTAATTAATTTTTAAACTTGTTTAATTTTTTATTTATAAATATATAAATAAAATTAATTAGTAGTGGCCTCCCCCAAATCAGTAGGTTTCTTAATCATTGATACTCTTGGATGGGTCGTTAGTCCATCGCCAAAGAAAGAGATGGTGACTCCAATTACCAAACTGATCTCTCGTTTGGCAAATGAAGCCACCCGTAACTGAGTTTCGAACTCGAAGCACTGCGCATCAAGCACTGCAACGTTGCCGACTTGGCCACATCGTTCTTATAGATGTAATAATATTTATAATATAGATATTATATTTTAAATATTTTTCCCAATATATCCTTAATTTAAAAACTATTTCAATATTTATTAATGTTTTTAAAACTGACTAAAGTCATTATTCATTTTTAGGCAAAAAAAGAAGCAGATAAAATTCTGAAATCATCATTTGGTTATTATTGAATAGTAAAATACAATTTATTTGTCTCGGATTTTTATTAAATAAGATTATATATAGTTAATTAGTTATGACAATTTTCATTCTAGAAAGAATAATAATTTTTATAAGTATCTTATTGCTGAATAATTTTAGTTTATAGTTCATATAATGATCAATATATCATTTTTTATTTAAATCAATAAATTTTGATATTAATTTAGTTAATTATAGTAAGACTAGTTAATTGGTTTAAGAATATTACATATAATTCTAATATGCATATGGTTATGATTTTACTGAACACTGGGTTGGCATAATCATATGTTTTACATTATAATATTTGGTTTATAAATCTAAAATAATTGGAAAAGTGACACTCTTTATTAAAATATTTTGCATTTATTTTAATTTGTCAGGTTTATAAAAAATAGTTGTTAATATTTATTATTATTCTTATTATTATTTTATAACTGATTAAACATTTTTTTTGCCTGTTAACATTATATTTTATAAATTAAAATAAACTTCAATAATGTTCCTTTAGTTTTATTTATGCGCTGTGTTTTATATTATTTTATTTCTATAATTTTTTATTTAAATATTTTTTGTGAAGTTGTACATTTATAGATTGTGTGTTTTAAATAAAAGTTCATTAGTAAATTATTGTGTTAATTAATTAAATGTATTTTAATTATTTACTGAAGCCTATAAAACAAATTAGTTAAATATTTAACATCTCTTATTAAATTTATCTATTTTAAGATATTTGAGAGAAAACTATTGCACTCATTAGTACTCTGAAATATTTTTTTGTTTACCTAATTTTTGAATGAATAATTTAGCATCAGTTCATCAGTAAGAGTTCTCTTATTTATAATGGTTTCATTTCAAATCTCAGATTAGGAATCTAATAAGAGTATAAATAGAACCACTAAACATATATATTAGTTGGTTTTACAATAATCATTTTTTTTTATAAAATTTTCATTTCTAGTAGGATCAAAACATAATACATTAATTAAATGAATGTGTATATTTTTAATTATTTACTAGTATTGTATATTTTTTTATCGTCATTATAAGTTTTGGTTATAAACTTTTAAAATTAACTTCTTAATTTGCTTATATGGTTATGGAACGTCTTTTATTTGTTTAGAGGTATAAGCCGATTTTTTATCTCTAATAGGCTATTTATTTTTGGTTAGAAGAAATTCTTTATTCTTCTTTTATATGATCAAACTTAAATAACATCAAGAGTGTGATTATGTTCTAAGGTAATATATATAATTTTACATAGTAGAATGTATGTTATACTGCATTAAACATTGAAATTTTTATATAAATGGGCGCCACCCCGACAATATATATTATTTATTAATTATATTACTTATAACTATTGTAGAGCTAAATTTAAAAAAAAACTGGTCGCTATAAAATAAATTTATTTTTAAAAAAACTGCTTGATATTTAGTCAATAATTTTTTTTTTCTATTTCTTTCTTTTTTTTATTTATGGGATGGACTTTTGGTGTGAGCCCACTATAAAAGTCTTTCCAAAAATGTTGCTCTGGACTTATCTTGAATAAAATACTAAAATTCATTTGGGTAAAATTTACCCAATGAAAACTATTAAACATAATTTAAGACAAGAATTAAACTAGCGCTATCTACCACCATTTTTTTTTTAATAAAAGAAATCCGGTACTATTTCACATTTTAAAGGGCAAATTAATGCTATTTATCACTGGTCTTTAAAATACGAATTTGTGGCCATTCGGTCATATTTGACATTTTGTGGGTTTCTTTCATTTAGGAAATACTACTTTATTGGAAAATGTTTTATTAAGCAATTATTTTTATTACATTTATCTTTATTTAAATATAATAGGTATTTTATTGTACAAATAAGACTTTTATTACAAAATATGTACAATTAAATATATATATACTCCTGTTAGTATTACTTATATTTATAAGTATTTATAAATTAATTTTCATTCACTAAAGTCCTCTCTTTATTGTAAAAAAAAAGAGAAAAAAATAACACATTTAGTTTTATCTAAAAGTGTCAAATATTTTTCAAATAAAAATATTTAGATTGGTGCTTTTACACAGATGATTAAGTAAGAATTATTATTAAATTATTATTGAAAATGAATTTATAGTATGATGGTATCATAATGGTCTTAGAATTGTTAAAAACATTCAAAATATAATAATACAATACCCTTAATTTATTATTGCTTTTTCGGGTTGTGGGTATAATTAATTTTTGATTCTAATATGATTATACATGTTTAGTTGACGTTTGCTGTGATTTTTCATCAGTGTTTGCAGTAGTTGTGTTGTTTTCTTTACTTTTCCACGGATCAAGAGACATTTTTATTAAACTGGCACAGCTTATCCTTTCATTGCCAATTTTCAGGGAATTGTGCATCACGTACGGCTGAATGGTTGTAATTTCGTCGGAATTGTCGCAAATTATTGAAGCAAATGTGGTCTTTCGAATTTCTAACAGTTGATCTGTTTTACACAAATACACACACGTAAAAAATATTAATAGAAAACAAACCCATACATTAAAACTTTATGTATATAAATATTTATAAATAACATTATTCCAACAAATACCGGGTGCTTTTAAAACGGTCTTTATATTTTTTGCAAGCAGATAATTTTACCTTCGTCAAAAGCTTGCGGTTTCTCATCGGTTTCGTACCAGTATCGGTCACCCTCTTTAATTCTAAGAAATTGATCAGCCAGCAGACAAGTGATTGTTGGTCCTAATAAACCTCCACGTATAGGTTTCTCTGAAACCAATCCCGTGTATGCATCTATGTCGTTCACTGACCTACACAAAAAAAATATATGTGAGATAGTCAATAATAATTATACCCACGATTTTTTGTAGTCATTTTTTATACATTTTACTAAAACTAATGCTATAGTTTAAATATAAAATAATTACTATTGAATTTATAATACTGTTAAAAATCTGTAAATGACATTTACAAAAATTTCCAGGCAACGTCAATAGCGTTAATTTATTTACAAATTTTACCAACTGTGAGTACGTTTATGTTTAAAATATATATTTTCAGTACTTTGTGCAAATTTATAATGTATAACTAAATAAAATGTAATATGCTTTTATATTGTAGCTATTAATAATTTCGTTTCACATAACGTGGTGGTTATAGATGAGTAATATTATAGTCTGGCTTCTATTACATAATAATATGATTCTCCGGTAAACATACGCAGTTTATTTTTAAGTCAATGTAAAAAGGAATCCTTAAAAATGATTATCCTTGAGTCGATCATTTTATTTTGTGAAAATTTCATGACAGAAGCACTTGCCGTAACATATATTCGCCTTACTTGTATATCATTTTCATTCTCTGTAACGTCGTAAATTCAATAACATTATTTAAATCGTCGAAGCTTTGAGGCATTGGAAACCCGCAGAATTTTCTCCAATGAGGGTAAGCTGGTAAACCGTGGTCCCGTCCTCTTTGAATGTTTAATGATACTAAGTCTAAACCACACTGACCTTTCTGACTATTTGAACCAGTTTTTTCGAATAGGTGTCTTGTTATCTGTAATTTATAAAGACATATTTTATATTTATATTAGAAATAAAAATAAATTGAACGGCAACTTCAATAATTAACAACTTAGAATGGCGCAACTAGAAAGAAAGTTGGCAAATTAATACTTTAGAATACCTGAGTCTTAGGCTTCGAAATTTTTTTGTTAAAATTCAGAAATTTGTACTTTGAAAAGCTCATACAATTTTTCAAGGAGGCAGATTTCAATTTGAAATGGCCCTATAATACTCACTTTGGGACCCCTTGTTGCGTCTTTGCTTTTGATTAATAATGTTTAGCGTGCAACTTTTTTTTCTTAAACGAGAAAAGCAAACTCATTGGAATATAAATATATTTTGTTGAACTATAAGCTCAATAAGAGTAATACGTATACAATCAGATTTACTACTTAAGGGGATGGAAGCAAATGTATTAGATGGGTTAAACTAACTCATGAGCGGTCATAATTGTGAATTTAAGAATGCGTCCAAAAAGATAGGTTAGATATTGAAAATATGGAGAATATGACAAGAATTATTAACTCGTACAATTTGGAAAAGGCAGTATACACTTACTAATGTGTTGTGACCCGCTTATAAAAAAATTCTGAGCACGCTACTGAAGTTTACCGTATACGAGTTTGATATTAAATGTATGTCAAGATAAATTTTAATAAATTTTTCTGGTCAGTTTGACAAATAAATAATTGTGTAGCGTAAAAACCTCATGGATCTTAATACTTGTTCCATTTTATGACTTGTTGGTTTCAGATGAAAGTTACAATTTAATATGAGGTACTTGAGAACTCATAAGAATAGGTATCATAATTATTCGGGTTATTTAATTAACCGATGTTGGTGGGCAAATGAAAATTGTTAATGGAATGCCTCAAAGTCATTACCAATAGGGTCCAGTGCATTAGGCATCTCAATACATGTGAACATACGAATACAAACATTAGTTCTTATAAGTTCTTGGTACTATATTTTTATATTTATTATAAAATGTATTATGTATACTTGTTGTGTAATACTTCAAAAACAAACTTTAATCTAACATATGTTTAATAGATAGGTACAGTGGGGTAGTTTATCAATTGATTGAACTCTCTATGGCAAAAGTAACCAGGTGTAATTTATAGGGATAAGTACATAAATTTGTATTTTTAAATATTTAATTAGTTGGATCAGACTACAAAATAAAACAATATATATATATATATATGTAATATTACATGCTTACTATACATCATATTATGGTGCATATAATAATTTAATGTTTCTGAAACTATATAAATAAATCAATTAATTGTGAAAATATTCCTTAAATCTTTATATCTAAACGTGTTTTTAAAAAGTTTTCATATTTTGTTTTAATATGAAAATATATTCTGTCAGATCAATGATCTACTTTCGGTATGAATGTCTTTTGTTAGCTGTACATAAATAACTTTTTGCATAATAAGACAACCATGTGATTTGTAAAATAGCTTACTTCGGGTGTAAAATATGCATCAGCTCTTCCAGCACTAGTGTTCATTGCTCCTCTAATGACACTGTCAACCCCACCGCACGTATACAGCTTATACGGGTTGAATAACATTTTTCTCATTTCCACATATTCCGGATTACTATCGTCATCTTTCAAGAATTTTGTAATACTCTGCAATGCATATGTAAATAACACACAGCGTAGTAATAATTGAATATTATAATATTAAAAAAAAAAAAAAAATGTATATTTTGTTTAGCATTCTAACATATTTTGTATTCTTGAGAGTAAACATTTTGAAAATAAATTTAATGTTTCACTAATTTCATTTTTATTCATGATTTTAAACTGTAATAATTTTACCGGTATAAGACTATGTGCAAAACGAAAAGCAGCTGTTGCAAAATTGTTACTGATACTAGGATCTGTCAAAGAATTATATCCAGTCCAATATTCACCTTTTTGAGAATAAAGTTTTAAATGTTTCATAAGGTCATCACCTATAATTTGTTACAAATCTATAAGCTTAAGTTTTATTTTTTAAATTGTTTTTAAGTTGTTTAAAAATCGAGACACATTCCTTGCAAATATTTTATACACATTGTTTTTTGTTATCATTGTATTATTACCTAAAATAATTGGTAAAAATTCATTATAGGTTATATGCTGTATTTGAGCTGTAACAATGTGTCTAGTTTCTTGAAAAATTTGTTCATCCGACCAATGTTTGTTCATTAGTATTAGTTTACTTGCTATTAAGTTATGTTGGCGAACCATAATTAAATGTAAAGTAGTCAAATGCATGTTTTCATTAGCTCTGGCGTCACCTGTTAGTTTAAAACAAAAATCATTTATACACAGTTTTTTTTAATTAAATTCAACTAAACCATTTGAGTTTAATTTCAACTCTTTTAAAATTTAAATTTAAACGTAAACATCTTTACATTTTTTTATGTAAAACTTAAAAATAAATTGTTATTTAAAATCTATATATTTCTTATATGCCAAGAACGGAGCTAAAAACATATATTTTAAGGTTGTAATGTTAACTATAAATTATTCTTATCAAATAGACTTAAGATTTAACCAGATGATCATCAAACTTTGTGCGTAGGGTAAAAGATCTTGAAGACATGAACGCAACTACGGCTTTAGTAGAACATATCTGTGATGGTATTTTTTTTTGAAAACTTCATTGGCTTAAAAAGTTTTTACTTCATTGTCCTGAATTTTTCTTTATCCCTCTAAAACATTCTGGGTAGCATACTAATCAATTTACTGTAGTTGGTCAAGTAAGATTAGAAGTAAAGAAAAAAGTTAAACATACTTTTTACTTAAAGAAGTTTATTTTAACGCCTCTTATATTTTTTATTTTATTCTAGAAAATACATAACTTGGTAATATAATTTAAAACTTTTATTGTACATCATATTATTTTTAGAGTGTTTAAGTTATGACTAAAATATTTCATAAGATTTATTAATGAAGTATTCATGTCACAATTATTGTCAAGAAGCATGTTTATCGTACTCAGGTGAGAATAATGTCTTTCAATTTCCTTGAAAGTATTTATAATAATTTTTTGTAAAATTTTAAATATTCGTTATATATTTTTTATCTCTAAATGGGAAAATAATAATTTTTCAACTTAAATCGTGTCTATAGATTTTTTCCTTTCATTATACGTTTATAAACTATTAAATCATTTATTTTATGTAAAATGTTTATTAAACAGAAAAATGGTAAAAGTATAATACTTCTTAGATCTTTAATTAACCGTAATCACTTGCATTGTTTTTTATGGTGTATCAATAAAAATATTCTCCTTATATGAATTGGGTACTATAATAATCACCTGACAAGAAACAATATCTTCCTTTTTCCATTTCATTTTTATCGTTACATCCGTCACTTGGGTCTTTGTTAGGTGGTAATAACTGAGCTCCATTTTCTGTAATGAAAACTTTCATTTTCCCATCTTTCCACGATCTGAGATCATTTTGTAAGTCTTGTGAATTACCATACACCGAAGATCCGTCCAAAAATGAACTAGCCTGATTGAGTTGTTCCCTGGGGCCTAAATCGTGTATATGAATTTAAATCAAATTAAAAATCTAATGTAATCATAAAAAATTGCTGTTTTAATTTAAAAAGTTTATAATTAATGTAGTATACCACACTAATTGATATTTATGTACCACACTATCGTGCTGTAATAAAATCCTATGTGATGCTATTTATATATTTTTATACTAGTGAGAATTTAAATAAAAGTTATAATTTATAATATTAGTTGAAAAAAGTAAACGAAATTGTTTAGAAATCAATAAATGGCGTATATGAACTGTAGTTATTTGAAAAACGAAAAAATGAAAGATGACGTCAAAAATTAGGAAAAATAACTAATACATCATTCTTTAAGTACCAATGTACAGTACATGTCTTTATTAATACATGGAATAGTTGTTTGCTATTGAAATGGTTTTACTACCCTAGACGAGAGTCAAAAGACGAACAAAAACTTGAATTTCTGCCAAATGGATATAAAAAAACTTTTGGTAAACGTTCAGATAGAAAGAAAAAATATTTCAACGACAATAGACAAATGTCACAGATGTTTTTAAGAGACAATATTAAAATGAAAAAATTTACTTTTTTTTACTTATAATTAAAAAAAAAAAGGTATTATTATTATTAATTTACCAAAACTGCATGTTGACGCTGGGGCAGATCTCACGAATTCCATACATTGTCCACAATTATTTTTTGCTGATGGTAAAACTACTGGAAAACATTCAGGATGCGTAATGTTGTTTGATCCACAACAAGATATTGAATTCCCATTATGGCCTATGTAAATTTTTACTTTAACAAAACTGAATATATGAATATAATTTTTTTTAATATCCAATACAATAATTATATTCTGTACTGTAAACGTAATTATTATATTTATCGATGTACAGTTTATGAAATAAATAGGAGAGTAAACAATGTAATAATAATTATATTATTTCTTACAAAGTTATGTTTATCATTTATTTTAGTAATGAAATTTTTTGTAAATTGTAATTAATTACCTCTACTCAGCGCTGTAGCTGTTATATCATGATCCATAAATTGTCCCCAAACCGCTAACATTACTGTAAAGTTCTTATCTTCTGCGAAGGATGGTCGATGAATTTCATTAGCAATAATATTTGCTGATGGCAAATCGAGACAATCTGTTGACTTCCTTGGCTTCCAGACTCCTAAAAAATGTTTTATATAATATTTTCTAATTAAAGTATGTAGTGTGCTCTGTTTTGATAGTATTATTGGTGAGATAAATACTTTTTTCTCATGAAAAATAAAAAAAAATTCTTGTTCAAATTTTTTTACAGTATACAGACGTATAGTATGCATAGCTTACTTTAAGAAAACATTTAAGGCATAAAAAAATAGTTAGTACAATTCACCCTTGATAATGCGTATTATATTAATAATAATTATTGATAATATACAAAAATAAGTTTTTAGGAATAATTGTAATTCATATTCATTTACTACAATAAACAAAAAAAATTACCATAACAGTAAATTTGGAAAATATCTTCTTCAGTTTATGCGTCAGTCAAAATTAAAAATATTAAACATATTGTCTTAAAAAGCCACAAAAAATACTAAAAAATTGCATATACGTATATCAGGAACTATGTTATTTTCTGCACTACACATACGCGAAGTATAGCGTTTTTTTTATTATTTTTTTTAGCTTTTACAGTTAAATATTTTTAATGTTTCATAATTTTATACTTGCAATAAATAATATTGTAAGTACAATAATATTATATTACAATAAACATAATACTATAAAATAACCATAGAATATAAAATCGTTTATTAAAGATTTTTTTAATTCACAGATTATTTCTATGTTTTAAATCAAATTACTAATGAAAAATTGTTTAATTTAACCCAGATCTATAACAACTATGTTATTTTTTAGCTATAATGATACTTTTATTTCGACTAAGAGGGCAATCCCTGCTCCTTGGGTTACTATGCAACTGAAATCGAATTTAATGTAGGATCCTAGATAAGTGAATCATAGTTTTTTGAAATTATTTAATTAGAAAATTTCTTTTTTCGTTTAAACAGGAAATAAATTTACCAGAAATTAAAAATTATGATAAGTAATGTTTTTCACTGTTGAGTTTTTATTACAAATTAACACTAATATTATACAGTACTGTGTTATAAAAATTGATTTAAGTTATTTTAAATAATTTATAGTTTTTCAATAAACTAATATAATTTGTTTTTAGATTAGTATTTTGATATTCTTGTGCTCATTTGAATAAATAGTCGACATTTCTGTGTTTAATTTAGGTAGTTTTAAATTTAAGAATATCATTTCTATGCTAAATAATTAATAGTTTTAATAAATAAAACATTTTATGCAAATATTATTACCATCTGAATAATCTGCAGGAATAACTCTACGATATGGTGTTAAAGAAGAACCCCTTCGCGGTTCTAAAATATTATTACATGTTCCATCAACTGTTCTGTAACGAGATTGTACCTGACAATCAATGGGCGTCCTATTATTGCACTCAGGTTTGGTAAATATTGTGATATTTGGTGAAGAAATTATAACGTTGTTTTCTTTTGAAATATTTAACGCTGCCCTAAAAGTTGTAATAGGTCAGTATATAAATATTTTGAGTAATTGAACTCAAGATAAGTTCAACATAATTTATTTTTATAAAAAGTATGAATGAAAACGTCGATTGTAGAATGTTAGGAGTAAATTAAGTTGGAAACTATAAATAAATATTTGTTTATCTAATTAATTGATGTTTTACAGCGATAATGTTTAACACATTAATTAAAACAGAATGGATTATATTTGTGCTGCATATTTCGTTGCACATCAATAAATTAAGAAAGTTTATTAATCCATTCGACGATTTATATGATTATCTTTTAAAATTTATTTGATTATAACCGAAAAAAAATTTTTAATTAAACGAATAAAATTTACTAGTTACAGTTTTTTAAGCAATTAATAAAATATTGAACATTGGTGAAAAATAAAAGATGAAAGAGCATTAAAAGGTTTGGATAATACTGCCAGAATATGTTTATTTTGTGAATTATTTGTTGAAACTAACGGAAAAATCGTAATTAAGAATGGTTAAGCACGAAACACGTGGAAATACTTATATAAATATGTACTTAATGTAAATAATTTTGAATATCGAAAGTGCTAAAAGTTTGTGGGAAAGGTTAGAAGATAAAAGTTTATTGCCCAAATTCATATTGACCTTAATTTTTCAGTAGCTATATTTTCGATGTAACCATGCCGCGCGATTCGTATCGATTCTGGCCCGGACTTCATCACTTGCTGGTGACGGTATGATGGAGTCCCTTCATCAATTGTTGGAAAGTTTTTTTCTAAATCCTCTTTGGCTTTCAAACTTTTATATCCTTCTTCTACCGCGGACTTTAAGTAGTCCCCAGTCGCATTTATAACAGTCTTCTGAATAATTGATGTTGCTGCCACCTCATCTACTGTGTCTAATGCTGAGTTTTCTATAACAAAACTCAAAGATATTAAGTGGAGTTGAACGTTTACCATTACCCTAATTTTTTTTGACTCGACTTCTCACCCATCAATGGCCATTTGAGTCGCAATAAGACATTCGTGGATTCATCAGACTGTACTGTTTCCTTGGGTGGGTAGAATGTTATTCCCAGTATCACAATCATTATCACTAGAGTCCTAAATAGATTTAAAAAAGACGCCGTTAGTATAGATGCATTTACTTTTGTTTAATAAATGCATAAAAAATGTAATTAAATTTTTTAAGTTGTAATTATTTTTTTTGTGTATATGTTAAAACGAGTGTTTTTAAGAACATTATCAAATTAGCTGTAAATTAAAATTTTTTTCGGTGTACTCTGCTGAAATTTTAAAATTAATCCAATATACTAGACGTGTAGTATACCCCATTAAATTTTATTTAAATAGCTCTTAAAAAAAAAAATGTCTAATTCGAATGAACATTGTTATTGAAGATGAATAAAGAAGTATATTTGAATGTCGTATCTAAATGATTAGACAGAATATTTTTTTCATGATTTCTTTCATGAAAATGTTGATATTATTCTAATAAACTTTAATCATGTTAAAATATATTGTTTGATCCACTTCTAGCAATAATAAGTGTGAATTACCACCTAAATTATATACTATGAGTATACGTTTTTATGTAAAACAATAGTAATTTAAAATGTTTAACATGTTTGCTAATAACTACTACTCGTATCAACTATAATTCAGATGACATCATACGAGAAGGACTGTTAAAGGATTTAAGCCCCTAATTAGTCACTCCACTGGTATCCTTTTACGCTAGAGATTATAGTAATTAAACGACAACTAATAAATTACTGTTTGAGCCTACTATATCATGTTTCTCTTGAATAGAATGGACAGTATAGTAAAAGTAATTTCAAAATACTTAAAAATATAACTTTTTTATATTTATAATAGACAAGTATTCAACAATTAATTTTATTTCTAATCCTAGATTTTTATGAATTTTGAAATGTATAATTTTACAATTACAATCTATCAGAAGTGTCTAAAAAAAGCAGGTTGTACTTTTAAACACGATTTTGTTCCGATTGAATGATTTTTATTATGGAGGGGGATTCTATGCTCTATATGGAAACACATGTTCTCAAGACTGAGAACCTTAAGAATAAAATCTAGAGAACGCCTTTGAATCGAAATAAATTTAAATTATAGTCTTAATACTTCAAACATGATATAAGTTAAATGTTAAATTACCCGTTAATTGACTTGGGGTACAACACTGATTGTCTCAAAAATTATTGATTAAAATCTTTTGAAAAGAGACAAAATATCTGATAAAAAAAAACTCTATAGATGTATATAATAATTTTGGAAAAAAAAATCTTAGTCAATTTACCAATATAGCAGTGAAAATGGTATAATAACCATAATAACTAATGAAATGTGTTTTAAGCTCAGTAAAATACGGGTTGTCTAATGTTTAACCTACCATATGAGGCTCGTTAATATATTTATACTATTGTTAAAATCAATAATTTTTTTTAATAATTTCATACATTTTTGCCTTTTTTCATTTTCTCGTAAAAACCATATTATGATATAATTAGCCACACTCTTAAAACGACTAACATTGGTTAAAACATATATCAGTTAAACTATTTTAATTAACTAATAATATGGTTACTTGCGTCATATTTTTTTAAAACTGTATTTGTGTTATAGTAATATAAAATAAAAATAATAAAGTATTAATATAAGAGTAAGTACATAAATATGAAATTATAGAACTCAAACAATTAACCTTTAATAAATAATTACCATAATATAGGTCTTTGTTTTTTTTTATGTGATTATTTTTGTAATTTTTTACTGTTATAGAAACGTGAGGCCATTCTTGTAAAATTTTCATTATACACAATATTATAAAACAAACCGTCATACTAATTTTCATTAATCGACAAATAACATTTTTTTAAATTTCACAGGTTTTATTTTAAATTGATATAACGCGCTAATAACCAACCTGAAATTTAAAGATTAATATTTATTTTGAGAATAACTGTTTTGTGTAGTTTTAAATGGATTATCGTTGAAAAGTTAACAATATACGATAACTATCATCGTAAATAATTGATAATGTTCGCATTTGTACTCGTTTTATCCTCATTGTGCTAAAAAAATTAAACATATTTTGATCACAGCTAAATGTATTATGAGTAAGCTTCTTTGTGTATTTACTGGGAATAAACTTTATTATTATTTACATTTAACTTAAAAGTGTTCTGTTATTGTGCTAACATATCTTTAATATCATTAAATTGAACTTTGCAGAAACTCTTCTTCTCTATGTGCTTTCAAATATTATTTTTACATTAATATGCAATATAGTAGCTTTAGAAAAATCTATGTAATTATATTCCATCTTATCATAGAAAATATAAAAACGTAAATGATATACTAAACAAAATATTTCTTTTCTTACGTGACTCTTAAATTAATTAAGTTGTTATTCATAGTTTGTATATTTAATTTAAACTTTAAAGTCTGAAGGTGTTCTTAGTGTAGAACTATCCTTCTAAGATATAGTGTAATTAATTTTAAAAAAATGTATTGTGTTATCAACGTGTATTGTATGTAATAGATTGTAAGTACTCCAACAAAATTAATATTTTAAACACTAGTTTAAAGTAAAAGTTAAAATATGATATGTTTGCACATTTCCTTTGATTTGTATTATATTTATTACTATTTTTGTCATCTAATAACTGATCAGTGGTATAACCATAAATTTTCTCGAGGGGAAGGAGGATGTAACCACTTTTGGTTGCGCTAATAGAAATGATATTGTTTTAAAAGTCTAATAATTCTACCAATGCACTTATAGATTAATCAATTGTGAGTTTCTTTTTATTGTATTGATGAAATTAATTAATAAAATTAAGACATTTTCCTATGAAGTAAAAAATTAAAATATTTGCTTAAGCTCGATTTTTTAACAGATTAAACATGTCAAAATTCAATATTTAACATAATATAATTTTTTTTTTTCATAATTTAATATTATCTACGTTTATAATTTCCAGGAAACAATTTGGTCATTCCTTTTCTTTTTTCACATAAAAATTTAAAAGTTTTTTTAACGGAGACATATGTTTAAACTACTTACAAATAACTGGTCGATAACAACTTTTGGACTAACATTTTAAAAAATATTAGCATTTTATAATAAGGCTAAAATAGTCTATTAATGCCTAAATATAAAAATAAACAGACTCGTGCATCACCGTTAATAAATTCCAAAATACTGGTATAAAATAATTTGTAGACCAGTCTTTTTATTAAATAAAATATTTTAATAATTATTATAATAAAGTATTATTAGACAATCACGTTCTAGTTTGTAAGATGGGTAAACAGGGCGATTACCCATTATGAACCAGTTAATTGAAAAATAATATTATTAATGATTTTTTTATTGATTATTTTATTTAGTTTAATACTCTCTCAATTTATCAAACACATTTTTACGTTCTATTTATGTACTCATTCTATCACCTAGTTATACATATGTCAATAACATCTGAAACACTGGTCCAAAAGTGATTTTCTTAACTAGATCATTATCTAACTGAACAAACTAATTAGTTATATGTGTTATCATTTGAAAATTGTTACCCTTATAAGGTATAAGAGATGTACATCAAAATGTTTTTATGTTTGATACATTGAAAAAGATAATGAAAACTAAAAGAAACCAATAAAAAATCATTAATATTATTTTTATTTTCCAATTAAGTGGTTCATAATAAGTAAATCATTCTGTATTTTCCACTTAGAAAATTTAAGTTGATCAAATTTTAATGGATAAAGAGGGAATAGGACGATATTTTTTAAATTATAGAACGTAGGGAACTATTAACTTTCGAAAAGAAAATAAACATTATATTTAATATTTTTAAAGATATTGCGTTATAGTTCAATGATCATACTTTACAATGTACAAATACTTGGTTAAATCTTGTATAAGCCTTTAATTATTGTTGGTATGAAAGAGATTGTGTATAATTAAAAATACACTTACGAAATCACTGCGCAGATATAATATTTAGCTTTAACAGTTGATCGCTCAGTATCATATTTTGAAAACGATTCATATGGTAAAGCGGAAATCGAGGAGAAGTCATCGCTTGTTAATGGTGTACTTTCTGTTGCCATTAGTATTCTTGTAGCCTTTTCTGATGACAAGTTTACTTTTAAAATAAAAAATATATAAAAATGTTTATTTATTATTTATTCTCTAATGCATGAATATAAGTTAGCTGTTAAATACTGAATCAACTACATATTCGTATCATGTTACTTCAGACACATATTCTTTATCGTTCTATTGGATAAAAAAAGAATGAGTTTTTTTAAATATTATACATAATTTAAAATAATACAATTCAAAATTGTAATTAGTAATTAAAAAAAAAAAAATTAAGACGTTAAATTAATAAATATTTTTTTATAAACTATCGATTTATTAAAAAAATAAATTGTAATGATAGTTTTTGTAACAATATTGTTAATTTAAATTATTTTAGTAAACTATTACTAAGAAAAATTAATTAAGAATAAATTTTATGTTTGGGACTAGAAAATACATAGATATATCATATGTTATTGTGAACACACATTAATATAAAATGTCTTTTAAAAAACTTATTAGAAATCTAAGAAAATATATATTTCCAAGAAAAATAAAAAATATGTATTATAAAAACAAAATATTGTGGCATAATATATTTATAAATGTATAATTTAAAGACATTTTACCAAAATGTTAGTCGGTTTAAAATCAATGGGAAAATTTTAAATAATTATATTTGTTGTACAAATTATTACAGCCTTACCTTTTCTGAAGATAGCAACTCACCTTTGATGTTTTTTGTTGAATTATTAAAACTGTGCGAGTTTAGTTGGCTGCCGAAAGAAATATGATCATTATGGCTAAGAAGCCTTTCAATTCCATTTACATACATACAAGTGTGTATACTTGTTCAACATTTTAACCATTAGAGATGATGAAAGATAAGGTTGAGAGAGTGAAAAAGTTAAAAATTATTTAACACTGAACTTAGTGGCATATTTAAATTTATTATTTATTAATTTTTAAAAATGTTTGTTAGTTTTAAGTTTAAACACAAATTGTTTTTCAAGAAATATGGTTTATAACTTTTATAGTTTTGTTTAGTAAGTAAAGTACTTATTAATTTAAACTATAAACTCAAAGAATAAAATTAAAATGTACACCAGTAATAAACAACCAACTTGTAAATTGACAAAAAAATTCTTTAATATAATAATTTAAATGTTTACAATATTTCTTAGTCTTTATTTCATAGTAAACTAGAATAAAAAATATATTAATTAAGTATATAGACTAATTTTTTTTTACGAATTTATTCATATTCCCATTCAGAAATTTATAACGGGCACAGCACTGCAATTGTACTGGCAGTTTTGGCACAGTAGCGACTACCAGCACTGAACCACCAATACACTGTCTTATGTCTGGAATGATAACGTTTTCCTGCACTACTGATCTGTCAGTGCAGGAAAGTCTAGAGATTTTGTATAACTGCTGTTACGCCTCTACTTATCAGCAATGGCAATCAAGCACTGTCCGCCTCTACGGATCAGTACTTAGACATGACGTCAGCCAGTTCTGTGCTAGTATGGATTAGCCAACGGTCAGTGACCAGTACAGTTGCAATACTTCACCCGTTGTCAATACTGACATTTTATAAAAATTTCTGTTAGGGTATGAGCACACACAGTTAGAAATTTCATGTATGATTAATTAAATTTATATAATTTGTTCACGTATTGCATTAAGTTATTAGTATTATATACAGTTAAAAAATAATTGGTCGCATCTAAAGATTTTTGTCCCTACTTCAGTGATAATTCATTCTACATGCAGTCTACATATTGTTACTATGCAGCAGGTAGATCTACATAGTCTTTACTTAACCATCCTTCGTAGTACTTATGATCATCTCTTTCAGGTTTCATTGTAGTTAACAAGGGTGTCCCATCGGGTTTTACACTTAAATACCGCAAAAGTATTTCTGGGATACTATATGGGCCAGGAGGTTTTGCATTTTGATTGATTACAATTGACATGTCATTATTACTATCATAAGCACTCTTGCCCGTTCGTTTCATATCGTTCTGTAATTTATTTTTATACGTTATCAAATTGTAATTAATTTGGTACACTAAACAAAAATACATCAACCTCTCTGGACAGCTGTCAAACTTATCCAAGCTGTCAAGCTTACATGTTTAACCAAGCCTGGAAGCTTAATACTTTTTTTAACAGGATATTGTAGAATAATAACAGTATGAATATGCCACACCGAGTTTCGTTTAATTTTATTTTTGGATAAAAGATTATGTATATTTGTCGCCAGAAAATAAAAAGATTCTAACGCGATTTTCGGACATTTTTCAGAAAAACAATATAAAATTAAAAATTAATATTTTATAATTTTTAACCAGTTGATATTTGAGATTATTAAAAAAACATTACATTATTAATGAAATACAATCACAATTTTCTATGATAATAAACTGAGCTATTGTTAAAACCAGGACTACAAATGATTTTGGTTTTCCGCAAATTTTAACAATTTTAGTAAATTAGTTGACTTATATTGAATTTTTATTTTAAATTTGTACATGTAATAATTGTAAAAACCGAAAGTACTAAAATAAAAAAATTACTGTCGATAACAACTTTTGAACGACTATTTTAAAAGATATTAACAATTTTAAAGTAGTTTGTGAGCAGTAGAGCGGTTTATTTATACTTAGAGATAAAAATAAGAAAATTATCTAACTAAGAAAATTAACTATTTTGTTATTTTCGAGTTAATTGATGATTTATGTTTCCTTTTAATAAACTTAAGTTGATATTATTTTAGAAGAGATAGAGGATTAAGACCAATATTTTTTTTTGACAATTATTGAAATGCTTAAAATTAATTGAATTCGATATGCTGTTTCCAATAGAACTCAAAGTTTCTATTTTCTTAAATAGTCACAATATTCATTTATTTTATAAATAAAAAAAACACTGTAATTTATATTATTATTGGAATCCAAAAGCGTAAAATTAAAAAAAAAGTACTACAAAATAGTCACTAAATAACGAGTTATAGAATTTGTCAAACGTGCAGGATTCCTTTGAATACATTTTGTTAATAAAAGTTTTATTAAATGTAAAATAGTATCTTACCTCAGCCGTACAAATGTGATTTAAACAATAGAAATTCTCATTGTTTACAGAATGACACCAGGTCCCATCCGGAAAATAAGGATCTACAGGTAAATTTGACACATCAAGCGCCGGTGTATAATACGATCCAGTGTCTTTACGACGACAGAATATTGAACAGCCCATCCAGGGTCTTGCTAAGTTTACAGTGTCAAAAAAAAAAAAAAACAAATTAATAATAGTAATTGGATGTGTATGAAAGCAATGTAAATAAAATTAATATTGCTTTGTAAATATAAAACTTATTAAAAAGTTTTTTTATTGTGCTCAAAAAAAGTATCATTTTATTTTACAAATGTGACATAGTGTACTGCCACACTAGTTATAATTATTAATACAATTTTTTTCTTGTGACAATATTTTGAAATATTTTACTCGTCGTACTCTAAGTAAAGTTTTAGTTTAATAATACATTGATGTAGTTTATTAAATAAAATTACAGAAAATTCTTTTTAAAGATATTTATCAAAATGAATTACGTAAATTTGATTTGAACGTTGCTGATTATTTACATTTAAAAAGTGTTTCATATCTACGAGCAAACTATTTTAACGTTTGATCCAATTATTATTT